TTATTTAGTTGTAAGAAAGATTTGTAATTGAGTGGAAAAGTCAGATATTAAAATATGGATTTGAATATAATAATATACAGGGTGTCCCAGTTCCTTTGTAAATAAAACTCGCTTTGTAAAATAAAAATGATACTTGTTTGACCGGTTGAATGAAAAATGCTGGATGGGATCGAAGTTTAAACAATAGTCATCACAGAATGTATCAGGTAGGGTTTATTAGTGAAAGATAATAATATTAATATCATTTTACAAAGCGAGTTCTAATTGATTTATTTCTACCCCCCTTCAATTTACCTTAGCTCACGTTTTCGAACATTCAATTGTTATTTTTCATCTCTACTAGAACGTTATTTAAAAACCTGGATATATCATATTAGATGAAGAAGTTTTTGAAAAAAATTGACAAGTTGTAGGTATTTTTTTAACCTCAGTAGAACGTGCAATCATGACCAAAATTTTAAATTTTATAATTTTGACATGTTCCAACTGATATTGGCTAACATTTTATGTCATTCAGATTATTGCAAATAGAAATACCTTACAGCAAATTTAGCGTTCTTTCAAATGGTGTAATTGGATTTGTTGTAGTCTCAACATTTTGGATGTTGTAAGCGTTTTTATGTGGTAAGGTAGTGAAAAGTTGAAAAAATCTAAATTGACGAATATTTTCAAAATAGAGAACTTTCCGAAAATTTTCTTTCTCCTGGGCATTTTTTGCTCCAAATGAAGAGTAGAATCGACTCTCTGAGTTTCGTTAGAAGGAACTGGGACACCCTGTTATTACTTATTTATTATTACTATAACTATATTACTATAACCAGCAAGTGGTGTATTTAAGGTGAATAGATTTGTAAAATTTTTGTTTACTAGAACTTCGATGCTTAACTAAATATTGCAATACAATAATTATAATTTGGTTTTAGTATCATTTTAATGGAGGGTAAATAACAAACTTTTACCCAGTAAAGCAGCTTGGAACTTCTTTTGCCAATTGATCGACTTTTTCATTGTACGTTAAAACTGCGTGTCTTGAGCCAAGCTATTACAACTATTTTATCCATCCGTTTAAGATAATTTATTTTCTTCAAGATTTCAAAAATTAGATGAATGGTGAGAAGAGCGTTTATCTTCCGATTGTTTAAGTTTAGTGGGAAGGTTAAACAATAGGTGATAATTATGCATTTATTACTTGTAGTAGAACTTAAGTAACCCTCGCTTTTGAAATGGCATAGAGCGCAGCTGAATATACGCTACTATGTTGGGGCAATTTAATCAAACATTCATGCGTGTTGATTGGGTCGTAAAATGCAAAACTGATATCTGTTTCCGTAATCTTCGAACCGTCCGTAAAAGCACTGTGGAATCCCGACCATTTAACGTTAAGCTCGCCCGGCAGTAAAGTGCGATTTACCGTTTATCCAAGTTTTGAAAGTCGAAAAGAATGAAGTATCAACTTCTTGGGTCATCACATTGTACTTAGTTTGATACATGGGCAGGATAACTGAGCTTCTTATAGATTTAAAATTTTTGTTAACGATTGTTCGGAAATCGTGAGATGCGGTCTGGTGTGACGTAGGTTTCAGAAAAACATTTTCTTTATCGTGCCAACGTTTCGATCTTTATTGAGATCATCTTCAGGGCCTGGGATTTATAAACATCGTTTAAGTTTAACAAATACATGTAGGATGTGGAAAAAAGTGAATTTATACAAGAATCCAAAGTAGTAAATCCAAGGCCCTGAAGATGATCTTAATAAAGATCGAAACGTTGGCACGATATAAAAAATGTTTTCTGTGAAACCTACATCACACCGGACCGCATCTCACGATTTCCGAATAAAACGACTAATACTTAAGATGTAGTGCATTGCTATGTCATTTCTTTTTTAAGGTCGGTGGGGTAAAGTCTGCATAGTTTTGTTGCAAAAACGCTCAAACCCACCACAGCACATAACGTTCAGTTCAAATAAGCGGTACTCAGAATGATAGAAAACGAGTTTGAACTCTATTAGGTTGTGGTAACGTTCTTTTTTTATTGTTTTATCACTAAACTGCAATTATGTGTTTACGGAATTAGTTCTGCGTTTTTCTTCGGTCAGCCTCTGTGTCCGTTATTTCTTTTTCGTTTTACTTAATGATTATTCAGAAATCGTAAGATGCGGTCTGGTGTGATGTAGGTTTCAGAAAAACATTTTCTTTATCGTGCCAACGTTACGATCTTTATTGAGATCATCTTCAGGGCCTGGGATTTACAAACATTGTTTAAATTTAACAAATATATGTAGGACGTAGAAAAAAAAAGAATTTATACAATGCAAACGTTTTTCCATACGCAGAAAACAAACACTTTGAGTGAGTAGAAATACTTTGATTGAATATAAAAAATATCTTTTGCATTGTATAAATTCACTTTTTTCCACATCCTACATGTATTTGTTTAATTGATACAATGTTTTTAAATTCCAGGACCTGAAGATGATCTCAATAAAGATCGAAACGTTGGCACGATAAAAAAAATGATTTTCTGAAACCTACGTCACACCAGACCGCATCTCACAATTTCCGAATAATCACCGACTAACGGTCACTAATCACCACACACTTTAATTAAAATTTTGAATAATGGTAACCTACCAGAAAGCAGTTCGTCAGGCAAAACGGTTTGTACATTTACCGTTTTTAAAGGTTTTTAACAAAGTCGGTCACTAATCACCACCCATCTTTGTTCACATTCATAAAACTAACAACGAATAGGTCAGTTTTTTGACCATTATTGTGTAGCAAAGTTTGTGATCGGAGTAAGTTTCTTATCGTAAATTTTAAACAAAATTTACTTGAGAGAAATCGCCTCGAGTAATTTTAGAGATTCTGTTAGCACTATATTAATTGGGTGGATCTTGTATGCCTAGATATTGATGATAACTTGTGTTAGAATTACATCTAGATTTTTAAGCTTTAAAGGTGCGCATTACCAAAAGAGAAAGCACCCTTACTAAAAAGTACTCTAATGTTGGGTATACAAAATAGTAGTAGTTGAATAACCGGTAACAGGTTATTTTAAGAATAATCAAAAATCTTTGAGCTTTCTTGCACATATTTTCATTTTACCTATTCCAACACACGATTTTGTCTAAATGAAGGCCTAATAAACTACATTTTTTAACTATTTTTAATTATTTTCCACCAAGCAATATTCATTTACTCATAGGCCGTTTCTTCTTCCTAGTGAAAAAAACACCCAATTGATTTTTCCGTCTACAGAGCTATACCTTTTTCGGCCCACTAACTTTTTATAACAGTTATACTACGTTAATTTTTCCTAGCACGTGATTAAACTCGGTTTTTAAAGTTGAGTGTATTATTTGTATACTTGTACGTTAATGAGAACATTTTTATGGTGTCCGTCCTGAATTTGTGGAACTTCATAATAAGATGATAAGTAGGAAGTAAATTGTCTTTTTCGCAATAGGTTTTTGGTCTATTGGTTGGGAAGAGCCGTTGATTTTTTGATCTACGAACAAATAGATCACGGAGGGTTCAGTACGGAATCTGGGTTTTGTTTATTTCATTTTCCAATTTCCAGTGTTTTGTAATAATTAGTGAGAGTTATGGAGGATTTTAATATCTGATGTGTAATCAAAAGTGTGGGCGTTTTGTCTGACATGTTCAGCGAAGGTTGATTTATTATTCTTCTTGGTTGTGTTCATGAATACGTTGTATATTTTCCTGTAAGTGCGGCCGATATAAACTGTTACGCATTAACATGTTATTTGATATGCTCCACTTCTGCCCATAAGGTTAGTTTTATATTTAGGGCGTGAAATGTTCCTATTATGGAGAGCATAATCTTCGTATTAATGCGAACTATGTAATGAGAGCGTTCAAGATGTTTGGGCTACACTTGTTGTGTAATATTAGACGTCAATCTTATGTAATTTAATATTTAAAAGCATATTCGGAATATATAGATTAGCTGCTAATCTTTCAGCAAAGTATGTCCTTTGATCTGTTCCCTTCTGTAGTTTATACTAATATACATTTAACTTTTAGCGAATTTTTAACACTAAATATGGAATTGTATTATCACAATAAAATATTTACATCCAAAAATAAAATACCTTATATTAGATTTTGATATAGAACGATATGCTTATTTTTAAATAACTAAGATGTCTAAAATATGGAATTTAGAAATTGCACTATAAACCATAAATGTACAACATGCTTAATATCTGAAGGGAATATTTTCCTTATCGTTTGTAAGGAATATAACTATATTGCTGCTATATATTTGAACCTGGAAATTTCTTGATGCTTGGTATACCCAATTGAATTCTATAATTCTTCTATAATGGAGGTTACAAAGAAGATATTCGACGTTAAATGTATATTAGGAATAAATAGATTTGCTCCTAATATTTGCTAATAATTTTCTGATGATACATCCGCAAATTATAAGGACCAATATTCTTACCTTATAATTAATTAAGGTAAGTTGAAATAAAAAAGTCAGTCAAGAGCGGGATGCGAATCCAAGACCTTTGGCTAGATACGCCGCTGCTCAACCACTTGAGCTATGGTCACTTCGATCCACTCGGACAAACTTCCCATATCCACCCCACCTTTTGAATTCTCCCTCCTTCCTGCCATTAATTGGTCAAGCGGACCACGAAAACTAGCGCATTTGATAAATTAAAATTAAGTATATCTTCACTAAAGCTCTCCGTGACCATTCCATTTGTCGCCGAGAATCAAATAGATTACACATTTGAAAAATGGCAAAAAGGAGGGAAAATTCAAAAAGTGGGGTTGAGATGGGATGTTATTGCCCGAGGGGATCGAAGTCACGATAGCTCAGGTGGTAGAGTAGCAACCTATCTAGCCGATAGTCGTGGGTTCGAATCCCGCTCGTGACACTGACTTTTTATTTCAACTAAAAAGCTTAATTAATTGAAAGACGTTAATTGGTCAAGCGGACCACGAAAACTAGTAAATTCTTACCTTATTTCGACTTCGTTTTCATCTAATGTAATATCTGGCTCTGTTGTAAGTCAATATCACTTAGATAAGTTATGTTAGGCAGTTTCAATCTGAAAGGAAAACATACCCCTTAACGTTACCTGCAATTTCAATATTATAAATTTCAAATCATGGACAAGCAAACATTTACAATTTACATAAAGTACACCGTTATTTACGAACATGCTTTCAAAATTAATGTTATTTTGAATATTTCCTTTGCTCCTGACATAGTAATCGCTAATTAAAAAGGGACCGAACGCGATGTTAACGCACGTTGTATACGGCCTGTTTAAATAGTTGAAGACGCTTTGTTCTCGTCGGGGGATGTGGTGCTCGCCCTAGACTCCACTTGCATATTTGAAGAACCGCAGGTAAACAGTGCTTCATAATTAACCGCATGAGCACAAGTCTCAGCGCGAACCTGGAGATAAAGCAATAGTTGTATACTGCATAATCCGCTTTGCCGCCCCTTTTCACCGTTTCACGGCGTCCCATACGCTCTGAAATTGGAATTGTCATCCTTATTACTTGTAATCCTCTTACGGAGTCAATACCGATGTAATAGGTAATTAACAAATGGAGCCTACCTCTAGCTGAAAGATAAACTTACCTTTGGGTATAACAATTGAACATGCAAAAAGATTGCGTTAAACCGAATGCGATGTCTGTCGTGCTAACAGCGAAGACCACCAAGACGATCGAAGTTCCCACCGCATGCCCAATTGGTGCGATCCTTAAGATCCTGAAATATGCAATTGCTGATTATCAAATTTCTCATATTCATTATCGTTAATATTCTAAATGCATTTTGTAAACTCCATTTGAAAGCAAATCATCCAATACAATCTTGATAATTCAAAAATTGCACTCCAAACTTCTCAAACTAGCAAAAATATCATTTTATAAATCTACTTAAGTGGATTAGCAGCTCTTTTCCTGTGACGAATTATTTTTTAATATTCTATATATTTTTTATCATCATTGCTAACCGATGACGTATCATACATGACCAAGTACAAATTACTTTACTAAGCGAATGACGATCTTTTCGGAGTTTCCAGTTGTTTAATGAAATATCACTATCAAAAATCATATTGTTTCCTCCCGTTATATACTGTTCGTTCCAATACACCAAATCATCAATCTGGATCATATTTAGTTAACATTAATTGGTACAGCATGATGTAATCGCTATTTGATAATCCTCCTTAATAATAAAGCTATCTGCACTTTGACCTTAGTATATCTATTGTGCTCCTTCAGGTTGTTAATCAACCTCCATAGCTTTGCCGGAGGCTTCTAGAGTAGGTTCTTGCTTGTGGTTTTTCTTGTCTTAGTTGCAAGAACGTGCACCTACATTGACCTTCACAGCAGCATAAAATGTGTTATGCAGTCCCCTCTTTTTCTTATATAGTATCTGCAGTGTTTCTTCTGTCTGTATCCCAATCCGGTGAATGTGTTTTCTTAAGTGACAGTGCCTTTTCAGGAGTCCAACCAGAATCCTGGTTTGGTTGGGTTCTATTCCAGAAATTCCTTTGTAAATTTTGATATAGCCCATCTATGAACCTCTTCGTGTGCCTCACCTGTGGTATTTCACCAGGTTGTGAACTCCTTAAAAATCAATTATAAGGTGTATCCTCTCTTGTGACAAGAAGTTAAGCAAAAGTAGGGTTCAGGATCTGGAGAGTCATATTGGCTCCCTCTTTCGCCAACATGTCAACCTTATCGTTGCCTATATGGCCCAAATGGCCAGTCACCCATGCCAGGGTCAGGTGTCGCAGCATTCCGCCAGAGCTTCTTTGCAGTTCCAAACACTTTTTGCCTTTATCTGACATGAGGCTAGAGCTGCTAGTGCTGCGTGACTGTCATTGAAGCTGGCTATCATCTGGGAATATATTCATAGCTGTTTATTTACCTGGCGCAGGGTTTTTGGCTCTCTGGATGGTTTTAGCTAATTGTTGATTCCATTGAGCCGCTAGTCTAGTGTAAACCCGTGATATTTGGCTTATTCGAAAATCCGTTAGCGTTCCCGTTTAGACTTGGAGTTTTTAGGCTTCCTATTGTCCTCTTCCTTGTGAATAGAATCATTATAATTCTGTGGGGTTAATAGATAGCTCCGCCCTTTTGCGCCACCTGTCAACCAGGTTGAGGGCTCGTTGTATACGATCAATCACGATGTCTGCATGACGGCCCTTTATCACTACGGTAAAATCGCCCGCATCGGGATCCCTAAATCGGGTCTTATCTATCTTAAATGAATAAGGTAACTTCTGCAAATCATTAGTAACGCCAATGCACGAATTTACTACTGAAACAAATATTTAGATATTGTCATTTACTTAAAATACATTTCTGAGGCACCTTGTTCCCATGCTATTGGAACTTCACGGGCCGCATCAATGTGTAATACCATACCGAAGGAAGATATCAGAATTAAGCACCCTGCAAGTTTTATTATTTCACATTTTTGTAATCAACGATAATTATTCTTTTACTCTTCTGGTATTGCTGTGCTCTTTTCATCGAAATTTGGCTTGCAAATTGTTTTTTAGGTATTATTGGAGCTTTGAGATAAACGAGAGCTATGTCTGTTACCTTCTGTTCTTTTGCAATTTATCTGCTTAGTTGAATTTTACTGGGTTATCTACTTTCTTTGTCGTTATTACGAGTACCGTTTATTACGGTTACTATCATTTCTAAATGAGGCTATTGTTAGTTTGCGGATTGTGGTTGGTCGTTCGTTTACAGAAGATACTCTGGGGATCTCAGGACACTACCTCGAGTTATGCTATTATTTCATTAAAGCCAGTTCTTTCTCCTGTTTTAGACTGAAGGTCTTATTTGTTAAGCAGAGTGTGAAAAGAATAGTTGCTTCTGCAACGGTTTACTTAACTATACACAAAAAAACCGGCACAATGTGCATGGGTTATGCTTGGGTTTAAACAATCCTAAACAAACAGTCCACCCAACGTGAGTTTACAAATTACAAAATATATTGTAGGAGACCAATGTGCTTTTTATGCATAATTATAAAATACGATTTATTAGACATATACAGACGTTGAAGTTGAGATATAACATCAAGTTTTGTCATAACTCATTTTTAAGGAGTGTAATTGATGAAATTATATCATTGGCTGATCCCCGTTATGGACGAACTGAAAGAGGTTTTCCAGAATGTTAATCGATGAACTTTGTTTTCAGAGCAATCTGCCAAGCGTAAAAAAGCTTGTTAAATTTACTTAAAGAAACGGCAAGGGTCATGATAAAATTTTCATCTTCGAGATGCCGAGGCAGAATGTGAAACTTCGCTTTGTTTCATCATACTGGAGGAACAGGTTTCTCAATTCTACGAGAGTTACATGTAGACGAAGGTTGAACAATAAGGGAGTCCCTTATGTGCAGTAACGTCCCCCGGAGACACTTTACACCCCTAACTAGTCTCTTACACTCGTCGAATTATTCCCGGAGAAGACTCCAGCCGACCCTTGCGACTTGCCATGCAGACGGTGCCCTCCCCATCTGTTATTTCGTTCACGTACCTCCTCGCCAAGATAGGACCCCGCTCGCAACGAGAGAAAATGCATACAAATTGTTTACGTCAAATTTGACTTGATTTAACCATTCCACCCAATCACGTCGCAGATGGATTATATAAATTTCTAAATCGATATAAAGCTAAATCGTGCAGAATGTGAAACATAGGCTAGTGATTGTCTTTAATCAATGTCTGGCGAAAAATCGTGGAAAAAATTGGCAAATCAAATATTTAATGCAAAATTTTCTTCACTTTCACATTGTTAACAAGTTACATTATTAAAGTTTTATTAGCAATATTATAACTAAATCAATCAATAATAAACACACGATTGGGGCCTAAACTAGGAGTACATCAGTCAAATAGTAAGTTTATAATGGAACGGATTTAACAATCGGTAGCATGAACTGAAAATAATAAGAAATAAGAATGAAAGTAAAAAAGAAATGAAAATATAAGAAATAACAAAAAATTATAAAAATTTGTTATACCAGAAATTTAAATTCTCTGTTCGACTTGGCAAAAATGAAATTTAGTTGTTTTTATTTAAATGTAGATAGATAGATTAGGTTTTTTTACTGCATGATTTTTAGAATGTGTTAATTTAGAGAGGGGTTCTGGTTAGACCTTTATAATCTTTCAATAAGCAATTGGAATAAATGAAATAGGATTAAAATAAACAACCAAACTTTCATGTTGTAAAGAAAAGAAAAAATTCTAATCCTGAAATTCAATCTCTTGTTGATTTTTGATTTTTCCCCCGGGGTGCCGGTGCCGTTGCAGAGACGTCGCCATGTCCAACGCCTTTACCGCTGTGGCCAGCGACACGACCACGCCATTTGATCCTTATTAACTTTAGAGCCTATTATGCTTATCATGCTGATTAATGAACTAATTTCATAAAAATGAGTTTATTTGCAAATATTTTTTTAATATTCAATAAAATTAAATGCAATTTGAACATGGAAGTAATGAACGAAGAAAATTGTGAACATTTTTTAAATTACCATTTAATTATTTAATTTATCAAATGCTTTTCTATAAATATGACATTTTATTATTTTATGTTATACAAAAGTAGTGCAGAACTTTTTTTCAAATTACGCTAAATTAAAACCCTATGATATACCTACACGGCATGTATGTATGGCTATTCTTTGTCAGATTGAGGATTTTGTTTAAGAGAATGGAGTCCTCCTAGGTGTCAGTGATGAGCGTTACATTTTTCTCAACTGCAGAAAAAAGTATACCTGACATTATCTTCCGACCTGCTAGACGATTGATGTACGTCGACGACCGACGATTTTACAATTCGGAGAAAAATCTGACAGAGGTTTCTGGTGTACTTAAAACAAGCCCTTTGGCCAGCCTGTGGTTCTGGGAGTGCTGCCGCCCAAACTTAGAGAGAAAGATTACCCTCAGCTATGCGGTGGAGTTGCTTGTCAAACCGGTTCATCCCCTTTAGGGCGCGATTGTTAGATGCAAGTAAAGCAGAATATACAAGCGACTTCGGACCAGCAAGGGACCTCTGCGTATACATTTCGGCGAAGCCTGAGAGAGGGCAGTGATGTCACTGGGAACGGAACATCTGGGTAACCGGCGAGGCTGTCTCCTTCCTGCGGTTCTCGTCATGGTCTATCTTGCCGAGTTTTCCAAATAATCTACTCTGAGATGCCATAGTTGTTCTTGGAACTTAGCTCGAGGTTCCCCGTTTTTCGGCTCGTCTTCAAGAATGGGTCAAGACCGGCGACAGTATGCCGTGTTTCAGGAGAGTGCGTCCACCTCGAGGTCGCTTCAGCTGCATTGTAGCGTTTACACGGCAGAATTGTACGCGATTTGGTACGCTTTGGGGTGATTCGAGACGATGTTTGCTCTGCCTGCCTAGTTTGCACCGGCTTCTTAGCGCGGTTACTCTCGGGGGCTCGGCAAAGTTCGAGGGGGGACGCTAAGGACAGGATATCCCCAAATCCGGAGTTAACCATCGCGATGCGGTTCGGCACGGAAGCCCTCCCTTATAAAGGCCACTGTCGTTAGGTGGGCCTCGGTGGATATGCCTCATAGAAGAAGTGTCCTCCTAACACGATTAAGATAGGCCATGCGAAATTGACAAACGGAGCTTTTAGGCCAAAGCTCGCCTATATGTCAGCCATAGGTCCTACTTAATTGAAGAGTACCATTCCTAGTTTCTACATAGTGCAGGAGGG